ATATATATATATATATATACCTTCAACCAAATTAGTCTAAAATCTTCGGCTAATTAAGTATTAGAGAGTTTGATCCCTTGCCTTACTAAAGTTCGATGTTGAGATAATAAATTGAGCTTAATATTTCAATAAAAATCAAAGTTCAGCCTCTTTAATACATATCATCAATGACGCTTTGCAATTATGCACAATTTTGAATTTTCTGAGAACACAAGATTAAAAGTGATCAAGCAAGTTTAACTTAAACAAAGGCGATGTGTTTTTTTTTTTTTTTTTTCCTTTTTCTTTTCAAATAAAGTTGATAGTGCGATATAGGTGTCCAATTGGTTGTGAACTAATTAGCTGGGATGTGATTTATTCGTGATGCAATTGCACTATATCTATGTCATTCAAAATTCAAAGTGCAATTTGAAGAGAAACGGTAATTTACTACATTTTCTTCTTTTTTTTTATCAAGAAAATTTGTACTTGCAAATACTTTCATGCGACACACGCGAAAAATTTTTCTTAGGACGGCTTTGTCGAATAGTTAATAGTAACAAACATAGGATAATAATTAGAAGGGTAATATAATAATCCTCATAACAAAGTTGCAAATTATATACGTCCAATATAGATCATGCCAAATGCAATATTTTTTTGTTAATACTAGGATAATAATTAGAAAGTAATGTAATAATCATCGTAACAAACTTGCAAATTATATACTTCCAATATAGATCGTGCCAAATGCACATAGCATAATTATGGTCTTGAAAAGGACCTTGGCCAGCATATGCTCTACATCCTAAGAATATTATAAGAAAAACAATAAAAATTAATTATTTCTTAATCTGCCGGCAAACTTTGAGAAACATAATATCTTAATTAATTTTGAGCACCTATAAATAGTAAATATCAATTATGATTAATCTCCCGTAGACTAGCTAGTGTTATTTCTTAAAGTTTATGTTTTCTATTCTCTCTGTCAGTTAATTCGGTAGAGAAAAAATCCGCAAGCAATATGAATATTGATCATCGCCATCGAGTGCACCAACAATCTAACTGGTCTGTTGGCTTTTGTCATAGTTGCGGAGAAGATCCTGGCACCTGTATTATCTTCTCTTCTGAATTTCCATGCTTTATATACACACACACACACATGTCTATATTGTTTCCTTTTCATTTCATATATAGAAATAAATTAATTTTGGAGAAAAAAACAAATGATTTTACTCCTTGTCACAACATCTGTGTGTGTGTGTGTGTGTGTGTATTGGTAAAATGTACAAGTGAAACATGCATGTCATATTATAATTATTTGATGTAGGTTGTATAACATGCTTCCTTCCATGCGTCACCTTCGGCCAAATTGCAGAAGTAGTCGATGAAGGGCGAAGTTGTAAGTAAAAATAATATTAGAATATATATATATATATATATATATATATTTCTGTATATATTTATATGAATTATGTCCCTGATCTTTAGAATTATTCCCACTTTATTTTTTGAACTTTAAAAACTCCATCTTTATCTCTTAAAATTTGAATCAATCCTTTATAACCCATTCTATTAGAATTTCCATTAGAAACGGATGTAAAAGAGAGAGAGAGTTAAGTGCAATCAGATAAATCTCTTTCCTTTTCTTTTTAACGAAAGTTCTAATAGAAATAGTTACGTGGGACTAATTCAAAATTCGAACTGCAACAAAGAGTTTTCATGTTGATCTGAATATATATATATATATATGCACTTTGTCCTTGGTCATGTTAAAAGCTCTAATTAATTAATCCTTTTGTCATGTGAATATCAATTACTAGCATGCATGGCTCAAGGTGCGGCGTACTGCTTACTGATGGCAATCCAATGCCAGTGGCTGTACTCATGTCTTTACAGAGAAAAACTGCGCGCAAAGTATGGATTGCCGGAGGAGCCTTGCTCTGATTGCTGTGTTCATTGCTGTTGCGAACTTTGTGCCCTTTGCCAAGAGCATGCTGAGCTCAATGCCAGAGGCCTTGACCCTTCCAAAGGTCTAATATATTACTATTAATCATTTGTTTTTAGCACTATCAAGTTTTGAATTTATCCGTTAACTTGGATTTCAAACTTTCAATTTTGATAGATAAGACTCTAATTCTGAAAACATTATACAATAATTATGGCCGTCGGTTAATGGACGAAAATGTCCATGAAGTTTACACAAATGCAAAATTTTTAGTTAGGTTAGCAAGTTTGATAATTTTGAATTTTGATACTTTGGGTTCTATGAGTCGTTTGTTATCGATTGGACCATATTGTCAGGATTGTCAAATTCAGAATCAGAGTTGTAGGTGTCAAATTTAAGGTTTGGAGTCTAATTTATAAATGAGGAAAAGTTTAGGAAGTATTAGTGCAATTTACCCATATCCCAACTCCGGACTCTTGGGCAAAATTCTTGATCAAATTTCTAACTTTAGTAATATTTGTCCCACCAAAATATGTGGAATACAAAATTATCAACCTCCATACCAAAATATTTATAATATGATGAGCATGTATAATTCTCTGCGCTAACATATAAAAACCAACACTGTTAATCAGCTTGTTTTTTCATTTTCTTTTTTTAAATAATAAAAGTAAAAATTATAAAACTTGAGTTTTACGGCATTCATAAATCCTCTTTAATTAATGTGTGAATAGGTTGGATTGGGCCTCCCACTGCACCGCCAATGCCTCCGTCCATGTACCAGTGATGATACACCTACACTCCATGCAATATATGTGTCGTTTTCTCCTTGCTTTTCTCGTAAAAGAAAATTATCTTGTAATTTAATAAATGCTAAAATTTCTTTTTCCGTGGCAGTGTTTTCAAATTCTACTGTGCTAAATTTTTCATCCATGTATTTGTATTCCGTGACTACAAGAATTTGAATTTTTTGTTACTAAAAATTTGGTACTCTGTTTTTGGAAACAAAATGTTTTTGTTACTAAAACATTTTAGTAGCAAAAAATGCGTAGCATAAAGTATTAGTTATCAAAATTTTAGTACTAAATAATTTTTACTATCAAAAATGTATTTGATAGTAAAATGTATAATATTTAGGGACTAAAAATTTCAGTAACAAAAGGTTTTTAGTAGCAAAGAGTGAGATTTAAGACACCAAAATTTTAGTAACAAAATATATATGTAACAAAAGGTAAGCGATTCAGTCACCAAATATTTGGTGATATTTAGTATCGAAAGGCATGAGATTTAGAAACTAAATATTTAGTATCAAATTGTATTTGGCAACGAAATGTATGAGATTTAATGACCAAATATTCAGTAGCAAAAGGAATTTAGTAGCGAAAAATATAATATTTAGGGATCAAATTTTTTGTAGCAAAATGTATTTAGTAACGAAAAGTACTAAGATTCAGGTACCAAATATTTAGTAACAAATAACTAATTTGTTGCTACCAATTTTTTTTTGTCACCAAAACCGAGACAAATTTATATACTTGTATTGTTTTTAAAATATATATATATAAATAAAATACCAAATATTAATTTAAAAATCTCTAAATATTTTAATACATATTAGAATCTAAACAAAATACTAAACTAGTCATACTTGAGCAAACCCAAACACTTATACAAATATTGTACTAGTAAAGTCTTAGTATTACAAGAATTAAACGCTCTAACAAACTGAGACCGGTGGTGGTAGTAGCAGATGATCTTCTCTTCTTGGGACAGAAGGTCCAGGATAATCTGATGGCAGATTTATCTACTGAAGTAGCTTTTGAATAAGCTCCTATTGTTACTTCATTAGAATTTACATGTCCGACATACGACGTTTGTTTTCCTGAACTTCATTTTGAAGCTTTTCATATCCTGACCTTCTGGATTTGTAAACTTGTGACGCTTGTCTTACTATAGGACATATGTCACGCTTGAAACCATATTTTTCATACCTCTCACTTGACAAAACTTGAGAGTAAATTTCTTCCGCTGCATCAGAGTCAAGTTCTGACCCCTCTGGTACTTCACTTAAACGAGCATCACGAGTTTTCATCATTTGTTCCTGCATTAAGCAAAGTGTTATAAACTTTCAAGTTAGAGTTAAAAAAAATACAAAATCAAACGAAATGATAAAGTGTTTAGTAATTCTTACATAATCTTCCTTTGCTCTCATTTGCAAAAACTAATGCTCCATGCCAATGAAAGATTGTTCATATCTATTTCTGTTTGGACTTTAGAAGAAATTTTATACTACAACGAATAAAAGAATGTTAACAAGGAAGCCCTATCAGTTTGGAGCCACTCAAGTTATCCTCAATTGCACTAATAATTGACTGCTGAGAGTCTTAGACATCAAATATCTATGCTTTAGTCTTAGTAGGGAGCTTGCCAGACCGAATAACACACTACAAAGATTATGATACACATATAAAGAAAGATCACAAAGAATGATAAGTTCAAGAAATCTTACCATTCTTCGATCACTCATTGAGTATCCATCGGCACAAAGCAAAGTTGGGAATGTATCAAATCTAGGTAACTACTATATCAAGCTATAAAGGTGTTTTAAATCACTAAGAAATTGCGATAAGTTACTACTTAAGGTCAGTACCTTGAAAGTGGTATCTGGCAAGTTTGAGTAGGATGCATGTTCATGTAAATATGTTAGCATCTAGCTGCACATTCCCCTCCTCAAAATAATGGGCACCCACCTGAAAGAAGAAAGTACCAAGTATATGACTAAGATGAAAAACAATTAACTCCCACTTGATTTTGGATATGATGCTATCCCTATTGCATACAAATTTACATTGAGAGACAGAGCAGTCACTTATTACGAAATACCTACAATTTTCCCTTTAAATCAACTACTTGTATGTCATCTTTGAACTCAATGGTCCATACCGAACGCCAACTACCATTGCTATCCATCATGTCAAAAAGAATTTTGTCAAAAAATGAAATCTGCTCTAAGATAAATACTCTTTCAGGATCTAGCAAGAGCCAAGGTAGAAATCACCTCCTGAGAGCAAGTAAGAAGTTAGCCAATTTTGGTCAAATTAAAAAAAATGGATGCAATTAGAATTCGTCAGCCATAAGGAGCTAGAAAAGGATGGTACCACTGCGTCGTTCAGCTATAAAAAGTTGCTTTTAGTTTCAAGCACGTAAATAGAGCAATTACAGAGTTATCTGGTGGGTCTTCTATTACAAGGTTAGCCAATCCTTTCTAGTGTTTACTAGTCTATTTGATGATGTACTGAGCAACAATCTGATTCCCTTTCTAGTGTTGACTAAACTTAGGAATAGCAATGCTACAAATGTAATTAACTAAAACGTATGTAACTAAATGGTTATGGGCTCCTTACTTGTGAACTTAACAAGGGTGTATACCCTTCCATAAGGAATCAATACTAAAGGGATTGCAAGGATTAGTATTTCCCTTTTTCATTCTCTATATTAGGTATTCCTAATTTGTAAGTAAACACGTGATTAAAAGAGAAAGGGAATCACTCCTATTCCCTTTCCCTTTCATGTGAAGTAAACACACCCCTAAATTAATAACAAACAGAAGACCGTGGATGCGGGACATTGGAAAAACTCCAGTACATCTCACTTTGGAAAATGTAAAAATAAAATAAAGGACATGCCAAGGGAAGTCTGATCTAGTTAAATTGCCACAACAAGAAATAATGTTTTTGGCCAGGGGCAAAAATTCAAAATGAAGAAAAGCAGATAATAAGAGGAGAAAAAGTATAAGATCATTAAAAAGACACAGCTTCACAAGAAGTTGGAGTACCTCACAAATTCCAAAATAAGTTCTTCGAAATCCTTCTCTTTTTTTGCCTCCCACAACCTTCTTCACTTCTAATCATGCCTGCATTACACCAAAACACACGGGCCTTGAGCGGAAAATCTAACCACCTATGTGCCCTTCCCTTTGATAACAACAGATTAAATAAAATGGCGGTGATGCAGAAAGAATAGACAAGATAAAGAGAGATATTCAGAAACATTTAGATAGAAGAAATACAGATGGTGACTTTGGGTTTGTGTTGAAGCACAGTTTTGTGGAATGAAATGTGAAATTATTACAAAAGAAACAAACACCACGGAGAGACGTGGGAAAAATGAAGCACTCACTGAAAAATTGCTTACAGGAAAAGCAGCCAGAAAGGCCCTTATACCAAACGGAAAAGAAGCAGGCAGAGATTTTGTTGTAACAGATCTCCAACTCAGCAAGGAAACAAAAATAGAAGAAAATGCAATCTACTTACTCCTATTTACAAGTTGACACCTAATCTATCCATATTTACAATTTCCACCCCAAAACTCTTAATACTCCCCCTCAAGATGGAGAATGAATGTTTTGAATTCCCATCTTGCCCAGAAGAGAAACAAACTAAGATGGGAAGAGTGGCTTTGTCATTATATCTGCCACTTGATGTTGAGAAGCTACATGTAGAGTCTTCAAGGTTCCATTCAGAAGTTTCTCTCTAACAAGGTGGCAATCAATCTCTATATGCTTGGTCCTTTCATGAAAGACTGGATTGGCTGCTATATGGAGAGCAGCCTCATTATCACAATACAAAACTGCAGGCTTGGAATGATCGATTTCCAGATCCTTGAGCAAGGAGAGCAGCCACATAAGCTCACATGTTGCATTGGCCATTGATCTGTATTCTGCCTCAGCCGTAGACCTTGCAACAGTATGTTGCTTCTTGGATTTCTAGGAAACCAGTGAGTCCCCAAGGAAGATGCAGAAACCACTAATGGATCTCCTACTATCCGGACAAGAAGCCCAGTCTGAGTCAGCTAAACCTCTCAAATGGACTGAGGAGCTGGCAGGAAAAAGGATCCCTTGTCCAATTGTTGCCTTGACATATTGAAGAACCCGCTGTACAGCCTTCAAATGAGGGGCTCTCGGTTGGGCAAGAAATTGGCTTAACTTGTTAACAGAGTATGACAAGTCTGGTCTTGTTATTGTGGTATAGAAACTTCCCAATAATTCTTCTATACTGAGATGGATCATCAAGTAATTCTCCCTCATCTTGGGAAAGTTTCACATT